TAACACTCTATCTCTCTCTCTCTCTCTCTCTCTCTCTCTCTCTCTTTGTGCACTTCTCTCGTCTGGTGCAAAAGCTACAAGCAATCCTCTCTCTGCAATTCTGCAAAAGCTGTTATCCTTTGTGCCCACAGATTTTCAATGGCACCCGTTGGTTTCTTTGGTGTTTTGGATGAGACGAGAAGGATCATCCACGCTCATTCCAGGCATTTTCTCGGCCTCTCAGTCCTCTTCCTCCTCCCCATCTCTTTCCTCTCTGTCGCCTCCCCCACCTTCAAATCCTCTTTTATTGATGAGAACCCTAACGACAATCAGCCACACCAGCGAGTGGAGGAGCTTCTCAGAAGAGGGGCAGAAGGATTCTCTCCTGGAAATGGTGGAATTCTGATCAAATCTGTGGTATTTTACCTTGTGTACACTGCTCTTTTAATGGTCCTCAACATCTGCGCGACCTCGACTATAGTTTGTAGCATCAATAATGGCTTCTTTGGGCGCCCTGTCAAATTTTTGGATGCAATAGCTTCGATCCCGTCTTCATCGTGGCGCCTCTTCCTCACCATCCTCTCCATGAATGCTATTATTATGGGAAGTTTCTTGTTGATTGGGGTGGCCCTCGCTTTGGTCCTTCAAGCTTTCTCTGCTCTGGGTTTCCAATTCAGTTCTCCACCAATAACAGCACCATTCATCATCGCCTTCTCGGTTATGGCAGTTTTGGGAGGCCTCTATGTTCAGGTGAATTGGGCTGTTGCTTTTGTTATAGCAGTCGTCGAGGGCAGTTGGGGCATCGAACCATTGAGACGAAGCGCTTATCTCATGAAAGGCATGAGGACTGTTCCTCTGTTTCTCACACTGTTCTTCTCTCTTGGAGGCCTTGTTTTGTGGTGGGTTTCGGTTGATTGGTTGGACTTACAATCCAATTTCTCAAAGGATCCATGGAATTTTCCTCATAAGATTGCTATGAGTGTCCTTGTCTTGGCGTCCATGACTGTGTTGCTTCTTTATGGGTTCGGGTCGATTGCAGTGTTGTACCTCTATTCGAAGGCTCTCCATAACGAGCTCGCGAGTGCCATTGTCAAGGAGTTCTCTCAGGAATATATGAGCTTGCCATTTGATGAGCATAAGGTTCCCCATGTTGTAACAGTGGTTTAAGAATTGTTATGACTTGTGCTCCAATTTTTTTGGCTCGCATAAGGTAGAGTTTCGTAGTGAGGATGATTCATGCCCAAGCAGCTTACTTTGGTTTATCAGTAAATTGTATGGTCATGAAAAGTATGTAAATTAAATGGACAAAATGGTTTGTGAATTGAAGGATATTGGGCTAGATGTCTATGCAATTTGTGATTTTGGCTTAATAAAATTTCACTTTAATGTCCTTCGATATTGTCGCCTAAAATTTTTTCTATTGTTTCATTTCATTGTTCTCTGTACTAGAGTTACATATTCAGTCCTGACTTTTTTATTTCCATGCTCGTTTTCTTTCCGGGGCACCGGCAGACTTGACACTTAAATTTTACTTGCGTTTGTTCACTTGCTATTGTGTAATAAGTAGCTAATATGTGAGCATCTAATGCAGTTGCACTTTTCATGATCTATCTCAATCAAAGATGTCTCAATAGATCAAAATTGAGCTCACCAGATGTTAATTGAAGTTGTAATGGAACTGACTTCCATTTTTCCTGTTATGGCACCAGAACCAATGCCTTAAGAAAGATATTCTAGCAATTAAACTTCTTGTATCAATTCATGGACAGCATAGCTAGGATTCATTTGATGGTTCTTGCCTTAATATATAGATGACGAGCCCTGATCATTATCATCATCTGAACTGCAAGAGCTACTTTGAAGACATGAATTTTCCCCTTGATGCATTTGGTTTTTTTGTTTTTGGCTAAATTAGCAGGGGGGGTTTGTACAGGAAGCCCACCTGTTGCATTAACATTTGGCTCAAGATTATAGAATCTATAGATCATACTCCGACAATGAGTACAAGAGTACATGTCATTATGCCTAACTCAAAAATTAAGAGACTTAGCGATCTTCATCATGTCTTCAATTCTTCCATTCATATGTCACACCTGCTGCTTAAGATTATAAAATCTATAGATCATACTCCTATGCGTACAAGAGTACATGTCATAATGCCTAACTCAAAACTCTAAATTAAGAGATTTAGTGATCTTCATCATGTCTTCAATTCTTCCATTCATATGTCACACCGGTCTTATCCAACCAATCGTTACCGAATATTTCGTCAAAGGTGCACCATTTTTCTTTTGTTTTTTCATTTTCGGCTTGTTTGATTTTGGAGCCAGTTGAACCATGTTCATTTGAATCACTCCGTGATGAGATTTCTTCTCCATCTTTGATAGTGGTGCTCTCATATCCTCGTCATTTAGTACTCTGGTACACTGTTTTAGTACTTCTTATGTTACCTTGTGTAGAACTTCAAGCAATTTAATTTTTTTGTACGGTACAAGTCCTGGGGTTTCATTCTTATGGAACCTGGGGCATTACTCATTTCTTAACCTTTTGAGCTTATTATAAAATGAAACAATTGTTGAGCATGTTGTTCCATATAGGCAGCAAAGAAAACATCAAGAATATTTGTTGTACGGATTTTGTGGGTATGGCCTTCCATGACTTTCTGGCACTCAATCTTACTTCACAACATGGTACCCAAAGTTACACTCCATGTATCCAAAAAAAGTGCATGATGGATCATCTTCTTCTCTAAGTGGGTACCTTTCAAGGTGATCTGGACTTTGTGGTCTCTGCAATATTTGGTCTTCTTCAAAATGACATTCAAACTGGTAACCTTTGAGCATGCTAAAAAATCGCGCTTTTTTTGGCCCTCTGGTCCTCAACAAAACCAAGATATGCCAGCTAGTTTTTGAGGTTATCTGAGCCTTTGTTCACAATTGCTATTTCTTATGTGTTATTGGATCTCCAAATTGAGATCAATTGGTGCTCTTGAGGTGATCAGTATATGTTTTTCAAAAGAATTATGGCTTGTTGAGTTTCGGGGTTCTCTCCTTATTGACAAATTAGCTAGTATTTCTTGAGGTGATCTCGATATTGGGTCTTGAAGTTGGGGTTTTGTCTTGAATCTTCTAAGAATTCACAGGTATTTTATGCGCTCATTTATGTTTTTGGTTTTGGGAACTTATTTTGGTGGGGTAAAATTGGGATTTGAATGTGAAATCAGAAGGTCAAGATTGCATTGGAGCCACTTGGTCACATTTGTTGACCAAAAATAATTTGTGTTGAGGGGTCTTTTTAACTCTGTATTGATATGAAGTTGTGATTCTTTCTAGATGTCAACTTCATGTATGTTGGGGAATTTAAGATAGGTCAGAAGTTAAACTCAGTGGTCATGCCTTTTCTTGCACTGACTGTTGGATTTTCCTCCAATCCCTCTCTGACGTTTTGTTTGATTCGAATATGATATGTTATTCTCTTCTGTGGGGGGTGCTTTGCTTTCAATAAAAAAAATATTGATAGTCACATATTTTTCCTTGTTTTTGATGTGCATATTCCATTTCATGTTATTGTTTGCTGACTGCTCTACTTCGCTTGGGACTGCCTTGGGTCATTCTGCAAGATAATTTAATATTGATACTTATAGTCCTTGTTAGCCGACTCCCATTAATTGGGAAAAAGCTATGACGATGACTTATAGTCCTTGTTAGCTACCAAAATATTGTTTTTGAAGTTTTGATATGAATTATTTTCCCCTTAAATGAATACAATATTTCCTCTAAATATCCCAATCAGAAAAATATGTGATTTAATGGTCATTGGTAAAAACAGGGCACTTAATGTTCATCCGGAGCTGTAAAATGTTTGTAGTCCAGGAATTTTGCGTGTCTCTATGAAGTATGATTCTGGTTTAAGCTGAAAAACTTGTGTTGTCTTATCCAAATGTTCACCTTGTATCAATTCCTGCTCCTTCAACTGATAATTTTGGTTGAGCTACCTTCCATAGAAAAGTTGAAACCAGAATCGCTAGGGCCTTGACATGGTTCGAGCTTACATTGGATTGGTCCTGCAATATCCTGGCTCGCTCATTGCACCTTGTAATGAGCATCTCTCTCCTCCCAACGCTTTGCACATGCAAATACCAAATGATTCAAATAGAACCCAATAATCCACCAAAAAGCCACATAATGAGAAGCTTGTTCATGTTTCTATTATGTACTTGTTCATGCTTGGAGAACTACTAATTTCCATTATACTTTCATTGTGTGTCATTCAGGCAGTGGTCACTCATGCTTCACTGTGTGGTTTTTCATGATAGAACAAATCCTTTTTCTTTTCTGTTTTTTTATGTGGTAGTGAAACTTTTTTTTGTAAACTCTGGCTTGAAGGAAATTGTTTGTATGGTTGGGAATAATTAAAAAATGCTTTGAATATTAAATATGCTTCAAATATGATAGCGCTTTGTTTCTTGGAGTTGATGGGTGGGGACTTCCATTCTTCCATGGTTGGGAATAATTAAAAAATGCTTTGAATATTAAATATGCTCCAAATATGATAGCGCTTTGTTTCTTAGAGTTGATGGGTGGGGACTTCCATTCTTACTAAGGAGAAGGGCAAAACAAATAATTTTGGTAAGGACCTTCAACAATTGAACCCAAGCCTTTTCCCAAACAAGGACCGTCTCAAACGATTTCGAGCCATTTGTTATAATAAAGAGAGCATGTGCAAAATGGTATAAGAAGGGTGAAGACCTTAAACTTTTTCTTAACCCGTCTCAGGCCGGGGTAAAGGAGTTGGGTTGTATCAGGTAGGCAACCAATATAAAATTTTTCTACAATTTTTAATGGATCATGAATCTACGTTATCTGCTTATATCCTTGATAAAGCAGAATGACAGACTACGATTTGTGTAGCAGATCTCAAATAGATCGGAAAAAGCTCTGACGATGATGGGGGCACGGACTTATAAAGATATTACACATAAGATATTTGGGGCAACTTGAGCTTCTGTGGTTGCTAACAGTGGTGTAAACCTCATACTTCGCCCCAGGACTCAGTCACTGCATAGGCAATTCAGCTTCAGGGGACTGAAGTCAACTCACTGACTCTCAGTCTTTAGAACACTGTATATTTTTAGGGACATTTTGCTGTATTTTTTGACAGACATGCAGACTCAGGCATGCACGGATGAGATTTGGATCATTTGAGTCTGACTCATCTAAAGCCCTTGCGTGCCTGTTTCACTTAACATAGGTGAGTCCGAGTAGGTCCCGCGAAGTTTTAAAACTGATTCTTGCACTTTAAAAGGAGTAGGCTTAAGCTGTTCTATGAGTGAACACACCGCTTTGGCAAACAAGGATAGCCATTGCAAACTGAGGTTGATGCATAGTAATACTAATATATAATACATATTGCTTCCTGTCATTTGTAAGCAATCAAAATCCAAAATGTAGCAGTTGATATGGTCAAGTTTGTAACAAAAGCTAAAATTTCAGCATCAGATCACTGGAAAATGATAAATACTTAGATCACATTTTTCATTTATAAATATCATGTCTACAGCCAAGTTTCAACACTTTTCATCTAGGCCTACAAAATTAAGAGGCCTTCCATTTTAGAAACTTGCTGATTATCTACTTCGATCATAAGACCTGGCTATTCAGCAAAGATATATGGTTCTTGTGCTAGTGGAGTTACAGGTATTTTGTAATGTTTCAAAGACTACCTCAAATGTAGAGGTTTGCTTGAAATTTTCCCTCTTCTGAGTTCAAGTACTGATTGACTTTAATGTTTGTCATACCCCTTTCAATTGACACGAACAAATTCAATACCAAGACTAATCTATGGTGCTGATGTTCAAGCAATCCAAAGGTGCTTTGGTTCTTTTAAAATCATCATTATCATAGGTTTCACTATATCCTGAAGCATGAGGATGCTGTGGGGTTGTCAAAGATATCCTAGTGTATACATTTTAAAAAAAAAAACCATGATTTCATGAACCAAAGTAGAGAGAAAGAACTGTGGTCTGCCAAATATGAAACATTGATGCCAGACAAGAGGCAAAGAAAATAAAATAGAACTGGGAAATGGGTTGAGATCATGACGGTCGTTCCTCAGATGACCCAGAAATGGGTTGAGATCATGACGGTAGTTCCTCAGATGACCCAGAACAGGTCTCAGGCTCCATTCCCACCCAATTCTCAAGTTACTGTTAAAAAAAAAAAACTTGGAAAGAGATAGTCACCTTCCTTCAAATTGTTTGGTTTTTTCACTTTTCATGGTGTTCATTGCCATCTAAGACTAGAGACTTTTTTCTGCAACCAAGAAGAAATCCATAACTAGCAGCAACATATCCTTCAAAAAAGCAAAAAAAACTAAGCTTATCTAATGGAAGTG